GACCCCGTTCCTGGGGGGACAGAGGGCAGCACGCGGCCGTGATGGCCCCAAACAGCTCCGGCACCGGGCGCCTGTGACACGGACACGGATGTGGACACGGACACGGACAGGGACAGGGACACGGATATGGACATGGACACGACACGGAGAGGGACAGGGACACGGACACGGACAGGGACACGGATATGAACATGGACAGGACACGGACAGGGACAGGACACGGACAGGACATGGACAGGGACAGGGACACGGACAGGGACAAGGACAGGGACGGACAGGGACAAGGACAGGGACAGGGACAGGGACAGGGACAGGGACAGGGACAGGGACAGGGACAGGGACAGGACAGGGACACGGACAGGACAGGGACAGGGACAGGGACACGGACATGGACAGGGACATGGACACGGACATGGACACGGACAGGGACACGGACAGGACAGGACAGGGACACGGACACGGTGTGAGGATGGGGGTCACCCACACGGGGTTATGGGGGTGCTGCTGGGTCCCCTCCCAGCCAGGAGGAGGGTCCAGATGCCTGGGATGGGGACGAGAAGCCCTGGGAATTTGGGTGCCCTCCAAGAGGAGGCTCGTGGTGTCCCCGGGGTGTTTTGGGGTCACCCACCTCTGTGTGAAGAGCCGGGTGGGGCCGCAGAGGGAGCGCAGCAGAGCGGGGCCGGGCCGGGCCAGGCTCACGTTGTGCAGCTCCCGATCGTAYTCGGGGTGCGGGGCGGCGGCGGCGAAGCAGCGGCCCCGGGCCCGGGCACCGCCCCGCTGGCAGCACCGGTGCTGCCCCGTCTTCACCATCGACTCCTCCCGGCAGAACCGATTCAGCCCCTTCAGCCACTGCGGAGGAGAAATCGGGGTCGGGGGGCGCCGGGTCCTGCCCAGCCCTGAACCCCGGAGCCATCCCTGGGACACCTCAGTTCTCTCCCCGGATATCGGGGGCCCTCCCTCCCTGACACGTTCGTCACCTTCCCGGATWCCTGGGAGCCTTCCCGGCCTCTGAGTGTGCGGGTCACGCTGCGGGCACACGGGTCACTGCCGGGACACCTGCGGCCCCTCCCCGGATGCCCGAGGCGCTCCCAAACACACGGGGCCCCTCCCCGGATACCCGAGTGCCAGCCCAAACACCTCGATTCCCTTTTTCAAACACCTCAGTCCCGTTCCCAAACACCTCGGTCCCGTTCCCAAACACCTCTGTCCCGTTCCCAAACACCTCGGTCCCGTTCCCAAACACCTCKGTCCCGTTCCCAAACACCTCKGTCCCGTTCCCAAACACCTCGGTCCCGTTCCCAAACACCTCGGTCCCGTTCCCAAACACCTCGGTCCCGTTTTCCCAAACACCTCTGTCCCGTTCCCAAACACCTCGGTCCCGTTCCCAAACACCTCGGTCCCGTTCCCAAACACCTCGGTCCCTTTTCCCAAACACCTCGGTCCCTTTCCCGGTCCCTTTCCCGAACATCTCGATCCTTTTCCCGGCCCCTTCCCCAAACACCTCGATCCTTTTCCCGGTTCCTTTCCCGGTCCCTTTCCTGGTCCCTTTTTCCCAAACACCTCCATCCTTGTCCCGGTTCCTGCCCCCCGCAGTCCCTCAACACCCGATATTTCCCAAACTCTGTGTCCCCCGATTCCTTCAGCACTGCCCTCCCTCAGCCGTGTCCCCGTGTCCCCGTGTCACTCACGGCGCTGTGGGCGCAGCTCAGGCTCTCGTTTCGGCAGCATCGGCCGTACTCCTTCTCCAGGCGGACGCGGAGGCGGACGCGGGGCCCGGAGCGGCCACCGGGGCCGGGGGGACCGGGGCGCAGCGCCCGCAGCCCGCAGATGTTGCCCAGGTTGGCGGCCGTGGGCTCGCCGGGGGGAAAGGGGGGCTCGGTGACCAGGTCCCAGGCGACGTTGGGGTCCCGGGCGGGGCCGGGGGTCCAGCTGGGGGCCGGGGTCTCCTGGGCGAAGCAGCGGCGCCGAGCGGCCCCGTGCCGGCGGCAGCAATGGAACTGCCGCGTCTTCACCCCGAACTCATCGGTGCAGAACCCGTCCAGCACGTCCGTCCACTGCGGGGAGCGGGGGCAGAGCCCCCTCGGTGTCACCGCGTCCCTGCGGTGTCCCCGTGTCCSTCCCTCCCTCCCGGTGGTGTCGCCCCCGCCCCTCCGTGGTGTCCCCTCCCCACTTCACCCCCACATCAATATTTTCTTGTGTCCCCTTGCAGCAGTGTCCCGTGTCCCTCCTCCACCACACAGTGTCTCTCTACTCCACAGTGTCCCCACATTTCCCTCCCCGCGGTGTC